GGCGGTCTTGGGGCTGGCTGTAACACCGTGCATCAGCGGGCCCGCGGGACGGGGGCGCCCACGGAGGCCGTCCTGCAGCCGGAGCAGCTCTGGGAATTTCGGCAGCCGAGCAGGGACGTGCTGGGTCGGGCAGAGCCCAAAGCCGACAGCCCCGAGCCCCCCGGCTCAGCCTTAGCCTGCTCCTCGCCCCGGCAAGGCCACCCCATGCCTTGGGCAGGGGAGCTACGTCATCCTATTCACCAGGCAGCTTGGGGAATGACAGAGGGCAAGGAGTGGGGCACAATCGCTTTTTTGTTTTTTCCTTTCTCTATTGCTTGCTCCATTGGACATGAACGCACCACAAGGTGAAGTTTAACATGGTGCACTCATGGCTCAGCCCAGGGACCAGCAGAAAGCAGGGCAAGATTTCCTCTACTGCTTTGGATGCTGTATGCTGGGTGTTTAATAAATGGTTGCGGTCTGTTGCTGTTCACTTCTCAGTCTCTGTTATTTTTATGTATATTTTCCCAGCCTGGGGAGACAGGCACCCTGCCTGCTTGTGGGCAGCGCTCCAGTTAAATCCCCAGAAACGTGGGCTCAGGGGCTCAGGCTGGCTTGAGGGATTTAGCAGCAGCCTGCCCCCAGCCACATCCCCTGCTCCCCACCACTGCCATGGCCCCTCCGTCCCCTCTGGCTCCCTGTGCACAAGCGCAGGGATGGTTCAGGTTCAGGGAAGGGCAGGAAGAGGAAAAGGGGACACCTGAGCTGAGCAGAAGGCCCAGCTGGCCTCTCCTGGGGACCAGGTGCCCCGGCCCCACTCTCCTTGTTCCAAACAAGGCAGAGGCCACACGAGCTCTTTCCAGCCCCAGCCCTCCTTCCCTGCCCCAGTGGTGGGGCTGCGGCAAGTTGTGACACTGCTCAACCAGCAGGAAGGAGCAAGCAATCAGTAAATGCACAGTGCCCTCTGATTGCAGAGCACAGCTGAACCCACACCCCCTTCAAGGCCCAGCACTAGCCGTTAGGTGACAGCTGCAGCACAAACCCCAGCCCAGAGCAATAGAGGAAGAGTTCGCAACGTCAGCCACACCAAGGGAGCTTTGCAATCCTGCACAAGATCAACTCTGCCACAATGCTAGCACCAGGAACAAGCTCACAGGAAGCTTTTATCTGCCCCCAGCACCAATGGTGTAGAAGGCTAAGGGATTTCCAAGATGAACAATTCAGTTATCTCTGAATTCAGTTATGTCATGGTGATGGTTGCATTCAATTAGCAACCAGTCAAGTCTACTTTGCATGTAACCTTATTGCTATAGTTCTTCTGTACTAGGAAGCTGACAGTCAAGGGTAGCAGCTACTTCAGCCTTAGGCTTCAGAGTGCTGAAAGCCATTTCCTTTCCAAGGTATTTGCTCACTTTCACTTCACCCTCTTTCAGCAGATGCTCAGATTTTAAGCATGACTGAATTAAGAATGCATCTACTGATCTATAGAGCACATACTGTGCAGCTTTCCCCTGCCTATGTTTCAGGCCCAGCACCTCATCTCAGATTGCATATGCTCCAGATCTTCCTAGCCAGGACCCACTGGTGCAAGTACTACTAACCAAGGAAAGAGCATCCCCTTTACCTTGAAGGCAGGAGGAAAGGGACTGGATTTGAGAATTTGTCATGATTAGTGCCATGCACCCTTGGAACATTTCTAGGTCTAGCCATGTAGCTTCTACAAACACACAACTGCAGCTTGCACCAGAAAGAAGATCAAGACAAGCAATATTTGCTTACAATCTTTATTGAAGTCATACAAAAGTTGCCAAAAAGTGAAAAAATACACTATATACAAAACCATTTTCCTTGTAAGGAGGAGTGTCCCAGGTTAAAGAATTATCATACTGTGCTTTCAACTGTAGCCCCTGATTCCACCTGTTGCCTTTTCTCTGTCTAAAAAGGAAAAAAAAAAAGGCATTTTTACAAACCAAACTCTATATATTCAGTGTCAACTCATGCACCAGTTCTAAGTTATTGTAATTTGAAGACTTAGCCAACTATGCATGCTTTGCTGGTCTCCAAAAGACCAAAAGTTATTCTCAAGTATCAACGTTAACAACTGCAGCCTCATTGGGAAGTATTAAAACCAGAGTATTCCTTTGTAAAAAGGCTTTGGCATCAACTCAGACACCCAGAACCCCAGTGCATATTTCTGTCCCACCCCACAAGTCTCCACAGCTAGTTTGCTTTCCAGTTCGCTAAGTGTCAGACACTTTGGTACAACATGCACCCTGCCAACTTGGGAACATTCCCCAGCTTTCAGGAAAGCCTTGTGAAGACCAGCAGGCAACACACCAATACATCCACCAGGCACAAAACCATGCCGGCACAGAGAAGCAAATATGCATGTCACAGACTCCTGACTCAACTGCCCACCTCCTCTTCCATTTTTTCTGCAACCTCATTTCCACTGGGGGCAGCATCACCACCACCACCATTGACAGCCGGTTCTGGTTTAGATTTCTTAGCTTCATTGTCTCCCTGTTGAGTCTCCTCCTCTGGTTTCCTCTGAGGACAAAATTGTTTAGTCTTCACTATGCACAAATTTAATATTTGTAGAAAGTTAGCATCTAGATGTCACTGTGCATTACCCACTCAACCTCTACTTGCCAAGTTCAAGATAGATATTTTCAGTGTTAGGATCCAACCAAAGCTCTGAGGCTTTGGTACCAAGGTCTCAATTATGAAAGATGTCCAGTAAGGTATTATTTAGATGCTAATATCTATAGTGCTGCATTATCCTTAGTTAGTTTGGCAAGGAAGCATCCTATTGCTGAGCTAGATAGCAGTTGAAGTGGATAGAGTTAGAGTATTTATGGCATCTACAATCACCTGTGTAAAGCAGATCAGGAGCTTCAAAGTGGCTCCAGGCAAACCTGAACTGAAAGAGGCTAGTGTAACATAGGCAGGCAGCCATGCTGTGCCACAACAGCATACAAAACCAAACCAGAAAGATTCCATAATGGGTAGTTATACTGACAAACAGTTCTGAAAAAAAAGCCTACACCTTTAAAGGAACCTTGTGTTCAGTATGTTTTGTTATCTCAGTAAGATATATTTAGCAATGCTACACATTAGACTGGCTTTACCACTTATAAAGTCCAATTCTCCATTTCCACTTGGAAATAAGGGAACCCAACTCAGCCTGGTTGCTTGTCCTTTTCTTAAGGTTTGTAGGATGCCCTGCTCTTCTTGCCAGTCCTCAGCAGAGCAGGGCACTTGTTCAGAGAACGCCTGCAGAAGCCACACAACTCAGCTCTGAAGTTAAACCAGTGTGGGTCAGGCGGGGTGCTGAACCATCAAGAACTAGTCTCCAGGAGGCTAGATGGTTCCCAGACTGATTGGCTCCCAGTGGAAAGGAGTTTCATGCACTATTTTCTATTTTTTTCTCCCAGCATTATAGAACTAGCTTAAGAAAAAGAGCTCTAAGCTGAGAAATCCAATTACACAAAGCAAGCCAGTAGTACTTCAAAATAAACTGTTTGACCAACTAGTCATTTCGGGACACACCTTTTTCCTGACTAGGTGAGAGATGTCTGTAACACACTGAGATGCTCCATCAGCTGGTTTTCTTACTGGAATCTATTACAAGGCAGAAGTTGCAACGTAAGTAACAGCAATCAGTAATCCTTAAAGGAGACAGGAATTCTTCGACATCTATCTTAATTTAACTTACTGTTGAAACAGAACCACTATCTTCTTTTTGTGCAAAGCCAGATGTAGTTCCAACCTTGAGAAAAAGAAAACAGTGAGCAAGTAACTATTGACCATTAATTCACACAAGACCACATATGTTAGTTTAGAAAAGGGGGGCAACTCCTTAGTGTTTAAACTCTGCATTCTGTTCCTATACTTATGAACTAGAGACATAGGTGGAAGTCTGATCTAGTTACGCAATGCTCAGTCCATTTTCATATTTGACTGAACTATCACATCTAGTATTGACAGATTAATTGCTACAGAAGCCTACCAAATTTTAGTTTAGTCTGGGACAATTCCAGTGTATTTACTATCTGTTAACTTTAGATGTGGGCTGTGACTGCGAGACAAAGAGACAGCTGGTATCACTTGTGAGCAACCACTAACTGCCTATCTCTGATCAAGTCTGATCCCCAGTTGCTGGTGTATTTCCAGTCTTACCAGAAGAATGTTTGGTTAACAAGAAACAGCTGGACATACTAACCAGGGTTGCTTTCAGTGCCAGCTCAGCTACTCTTGCACTCTTTTGAGACTCCTTTGAATCCTCTATCTTTTCTTTAATCTCAGGAAGCAGTCCTTTCAGTTCTTCAATCTCCTTCTCATCTTCAGGGGACCCACTTTCTGTCTTCTTTATTCGATCAGTAAGCATTGCTAGGATGACACAGTTATGGCAAAGAAACAAACAACAACAAAAAACCACCAAGTGGATGTCTAGTTATCAATATCCACAAAGGCAAGGGCCTACTAACAAAGGGCAGTCAGGCAACTGTGACTTCAGCATCATCTGTTATTAGTATAGCCTGTTATCAGCTGCAGATCAGCTAAGCATTATGAATATGTGCATGGCAAGGTAATAAGTATATGCCTTCAGGGCAATTTAACAAAGTTGACTTTCACTTATAACAGTTATCCCACTTACTAGACAGTTTTAGAAATCCACTTACCCATTCTCTTGTCAATGACTTCTATGGATTTACCAAACTGTAGAACCGCTTCATCAAACTGGCTGTTGTAGTGGTATGCCAATGCCAACTGGTAGTGACTTTCAGCTAGCAGGCGGTCATGAGCCTCCAGGTACTTCTGCTGTAGGGCCAGGCAGGCCTGAAACTCTTCTATAGCCTGTGTATAGTTTTCTATAGGAGACAGCCATAAAGTCTTGAGACACATGCATTTATCCAAGCAAGTAAGCTGAATAGGGAGGCAGATCTACTACATACATTATACTACATACATTACTGCAGTTTTTAAATACAGCCTGAGAACAAAACTACTACTGAAAGCAATCACCAAGTTCAATAACAGACTAGTTTCAGATTATCAAGCAACAACACTTGCAGTCCAACACTGCCTCCCACTCAAGGGGGGGAAAAAAGAATCAGTTCAGAATTCCTCTAGTTCTTCCAATAGAGCGCTTTGTCCATTTACTAACAACATAGTAAAGCAAGCAGCTAATAAGTCACAAGCAGCCTCATGATTTCTGCTGTTTTACCTGCTGCCATGAACTGCATTACTACTTGTCAAAACTGCAGCCTGAATCTAGAGCTAAGTATAGTCAGAGGCCACTTTCCAGCCAAGCTCTCATTGACAGTATTCTCGTGACAGAAATCATAACCTTCATGTTGTAGCCCTAGACCAGAAGCCCATCAGATTATTTCAGTACTTGCCACAGAAGACGACATCCTCCCTGGATTTAACAAAATAGGAGGAGAAGCAGGGTGGGGAGAATCAAACTCACAGGTTTGTAAATGAAGAGCAGATAGACACATTACAAGGCACAAACCTGAGACCTCCTTCCCACTTCCTTTTTCTGATGCATAAAACATCAGGATCCTTCCTGCCCACACCTTAACACGTGGAAAAGTCTAGTAGAGCTAGTCATTTTTGATTTGCAGACTTTACATTCCACAAGTGTCTTGGTACCCGACACCTCCCAGCAAGCTCAGCAACTGAGCGCTTCAATAAAGAAAGGGTCTTTCCTAATTTCTGAAGCTAACCAGACCTTCTCTACAAAGCAGAGGACTAGGCTGTTTTCCGTCTGGTAACAACATGAGGTTTTAACTCAAAGCTTTCTGCTGCTGTTCTGGAATAGCATGTAATATCCAGTTTAAGGCACTGGTTTTGTTCATCTGTTTATTCCAAAGCTTCTCACATGGCTGCACTAGCATAATTAGATGAAAAAAATGTTGTATTTACCCCCCCCCCCAAATCTTAACCTTAATCACCTCTACTCATTTTAAAGGATGGTATCGTGGCAGAAAACTAAACCCAACACTCTGTACATGAGAATTAATATTGTTTTTACCAGATTCGATGCTAACTTCTCCTAGCTTTAGATGAGCCTGAGCTGCGTGGAGCTGAGCTTCTTTTGTTTCTTGTCTAAAAGAAGAAAGAATTGTTATGTCATTTTCAAATCCTAATCAGAATACACAACATTTACTAGTTATGCCACCTCCCAAACAATTTCCTTAAAGTTTCTTAACAGATATACAGATTCAGACAAATTTTTACCTTTTGTAGATTACTTTTGCTAACTCCAGCATGTCCCAGGCTAGCTCAAGATTTCCAATTTCATCCTCTTCACTTTCCTGTAAAGACTAAAAGTGTATTGAAATTAAGTAGCTTGGTTACACATCACATCACTAAAATAACAGTACTAAGTTTCTAAGCAGTATCCTTGAGGAATAAGTTGCATCTAGACGTAAACAGTTTAACGCTAGAAGGAGGAAAAAAAAAAGACCACCACAAGAGGTTATTGCATCAACTGGAACTTTGCTTGCATTGAAGGTTAAGTTGAATATAAAAATATATAGTCAGTTGAAATGCTCTTAATTCTTAGAAATAACAGGACTCCAAGGACCACCATTATCCTAGGAATAAGGCTGCATTTTAAGCTGTTACTAAGTTGAGTCAAAAACTCAATGAAGGAGTTGATGTTCCATGTTTTTAAATGAGCTGTTTGAAATCCATTAGAATATTCTGAGGCAGACACAGATAACTCCTCGGGTTTAAGCAGCACTACACTTTTCACTTAATTCTCATCCTAATCAAGGCTTATTGGACTGGGCGCATTCAAATACAGTCAAAGCAAAGCAAGTAGAGAAGGATCTGCTACAAACAAGCAACTTAGTGACAAGCCAAACCAGCCTTGCTTGCTGAAGACTGCCAGCCCTCTGCATTTGCCAAGCTGTATTACTGATCAATAGACTGCAAGCATTCATTTCAGGGTTGCTAGATAAGCCACAAGTTTGCAGACAAAGATGAGCAAGGTCCTATAAGGCAAACCGTGCATATTGTCCCTTCCTTTGGCAATACTAGCTTCCAAAGGAAAGTCACTTTTTAAAGAGGATTATAAAAATAATACAATCTCAGCGTTCTCAGGATGAGGCCTCCTGACTAGCGTAACAGATTTCTAGTCAGAAAAGCGTGATTTCTCCAATACCCCTACTTCCTTCTATCACAAACCACAAAACATGTTCACCTTTATTCTATCTGAACTTAAGGTCATTACCATGACTTTTAGACAGATACTTGCACTCTGCCAAGAGTGGTCAATCAGCAGTCTCACCTTGTCTTCTACTGTCAATTCATTCTCCTTATCATCTTCAGCTTTGTCATTTTCTTTATCTTCCTCTTCCGATTCTTCTGTTTCTACAAGGAAAGAAGACGAATGAGAATACTTGTTACTAATGTGCTTGCTTTACAGGGAGCCAGGCAGAACACACTGTGTCCAGCCCTTATCCTTCCAGTGAAAGGTTAGATGCGTGATGTAAGAGAGCACAGATAACTTCAAATCCTCTTATCAGTCAGCAGCAGCCATCTTGCTGAAAATGTTAGGTATTGCAGACTAAAACAGTTCCAGGGTGCCTTAGCAGTTCTTTAAACTTAACTTCATACTATCAAGAATGCTAACTTCCCCAGAATCAAGTTCTTGCAAATGCACTGTGCACTCCCACAAAAGCCACGGGGTCCTGAGCAGCCCTAGAGGTACCAGTCAGTTGCTGGACCTTCATGCTACAGATAACAAGCGTTTTCAGCAAGATAGCTGCCAAGCTGTGTACAAATAAAAACTGTTTCTGAACTCATTAGCGTTTCTTCTTTCAGACATTTAAGTTACAGTGTAATTAATGAACTTGCCACTGCGTAGAACTGATTTGACTTATGATACTGCGCATCTCAGCGTTGCATGAACTACTCTACCAGTAGAAAGTACTTTGGGAGAAGGGGTAGTGAAGGAATTTGACTAATTAAAGTACTCATTGACTTGTGTGCCAAAATGAACATACTCTGACAAAGAAACCCTGTATCATCATGACCATGGACTAACTCAAGTAAGAAGAATTTTATTCTTGAGAAGATCAGAGAACCTGTAAACTGGTTAGTCTGACTCCCAAAGAACGCACATCTACCACTGACAAGGCCAAACCTGTAACTACAAGGACAGCTTGACCAAAGGTAAAACAGAGGAGATGCTAGGAAGTTAAAGTCCGTTTTAACTACGATAAGAAGTTGGCACGACAAGGCGTCCGACCAAGATACTCAAAAGAGTGTCTGCACACTAGCAGAATTCAAATAAAAGGAAAGAGCATGCTTGCATAAGCAGCCTTTCACAGAACGGATAGTGGATAGCTATTCTTCTAGTTTATATTAGGAAGCTATTTCACCACCTGGAAGGGTTTTCTGTGTTCAGCAGTACAAATCCTTTTAATGTCCAGAACTATGAAGTCTACCACACCTAAGTAAGGCTTTTCCCATGCAGCCGAGCTACTGACAAGCTTGAAGCACCAATTATCAGCTTATCAAGTAACTTGTGCAAGAGGAAGCTATGGCCTCTTAGGACCATGCAACTTTAGAAAAGCGTACAAGTTCTGCTAGACTACTTTAACATAATCCTGTAAACAGCTTTAATGAAGCAGGGAAGCAAAATGGCAGAAAGAGCTAGATAGCAGTAGGATTGTACTAGATAGAAGCAATAAGCCTTCTGTATTTAATTTGCCAAATCTGATTTACCAACCAAATTCTAATTTTTAATTACCACCAGAAAGACTCATCCAGAGTCCCTTTGTTTTGTAAAAGCAAATTTACTATTTTATTATGTATTCAGCTGTTTTTGTTTTTCTGCTCCACTGTTTTAAATTAAATAAGGTTATAACCCGAGGCAACTTGTGCTTCGAGTTATTTGGAGGTTAGTGCAATAAACCCAGATGCATGCAAGTGAACATCCATTCAGTATTCTCCACCAGCCTAGCTGTTACTTACACATTTCACAATGCTGTAAGTTTGCTTTAAAAGTAAGATTTGCTTTGCAGTTAGTTAAGCATTAGTCTAGAGAAACTGAGACTATTCACTGTTCCTTGAAACTTCACTGAAACCAGTTACTTGGATGTAAAAATCCTTCAAGGGCCCCTTTACTGTGCCTTTTCCTTTTCTAAGTAAGGCAAACAGAAAATTCTGAATGGAACACTTTTTACCCATTGTTAGCCAGTCAAATCCACCAAGTCATCCACCCACAAGTACTTTTCTCCTCTCACTGTTACCTTCTCCCTCTTCCATCAGGTCACCTTTTTCTTCTTTTTCTACCTTAGCACCTTCACCCTCTTCTATCAGGTCCTCTTTCTTTTCCTCTTTTTCTACCTTAGCAGCTACTTCAGCCTTTTCTTGCATGTCATTAGATGGCTCTTTGCCCTCCATAGGCACTGGTTCCTTTGAGGACTCTGCCTCTTTAGGTTCATCTGGTTTCTCTTCTGTAGCTGTTTCTATCTGTTCTTCTTTCTCCTCCACCTTCTGGTCAACTGCCTCTGCCTGCCCTTCTGCAGCTTCTTTCCGTTCCACAGTGACTGCTGCCTGTGCCTCTGCTGTCACTTCTTGCACTATGGCCTCCTCTTCCACAGGTGCCTCCACCTGCCCTTCTACAGCCTCTCCCTTTTTCACAGCTGTCTCTGCCTCCTTTTCTGTTGCTTCTGCTGTCCGCTCTCCTGCTGTCCTGTTCTCCTCCACAGCCGTGTTTGCTTCTTCCGCAACTTCAGCCTCTTCCACAGCTGCCTTTGCCTCCTTGTCTGACACTTCCGTCATTCTTTCCTTCTCCTCAGCTGCTTCCTTTGCCACCTCTTCAGGTGCTGTTTTCTGCTCTTTCTCCACCGTTTTCTCTTCCACAGCTGCCTCCTCTTTTGCAGTCTCCTTTTCCACAGCTATCTGCTGCTCCCGTTCTTCTGAAATTGCTTCTTTTTCCACAGAAGTCTCTGTCTTCTCTGCAGCCTCTTCAACCTTTACTTCCATGTCAGCAGTTGCTGCTTCTCCCATTTTTTCTTCTATCATCTCTTCCATTTCAACATCTTCTCCTTTGTTTTCCTTCTCAGTTAGTACTGGAGACTCTCCTGTAGATTTTTTGGACTCTTCTTTTTCCCCCATGGCGTTATATACCTGCTCTCTCAACTCCTCCCTTGCTTCTTCTACATGATTGAGGAAGCATAAACATGTCTTCGAGTTTAGTGATAAAAGCATTAATGGGCACTGAAAACACCACCCTCAGACCCTCTAGTGCGTTGGTTTGTCAACAAATTAAATAACTTTCCTAAAGAACTCCACGTTTGAAATACAAAGTATTAGGACGCAACCAACAGCACAACTTCAACTAAGCAAGTCTCTTCCCCTCCCCAGACTGAATTATTGCAAGCGGCTGCTCAAGCAGTGTGCATTTTTGCGCGCTAGCATTTTTAGTCACAGCTAAGCAAGAGATGCCAAGTTTTTCTAACAGTCTGGACTGACAGGAGTTCCCGTATTACCTCCAGCTACAGGTAGTATAGAATAGTTATTGTTCTTGGACTTTTTTCCTCTAAAACAGAGGCTCTGACCTGTCCTACCACACACATTGTACTGCTTTGCACTGCACAGCACTGTACCGTACAGGTTTACACAGCAGTCCAAGTCGAGAGTGAAACTTAAGAAAGCAAGCTTGAACGCAGCAGTTCAGGACACAGGCATCCGGTGACTGCCCACACATGCTTTAAATGATCAATTCCCAGCAAAATTTTGGAGGTTTTGTTCAATCTTTACAAAACTTTAGAGGAAAAAAAGTCCATTAAGGCTAAAAGTTTCAATACAATGACTCAAACTACCTAGAAAAGTGATGGAACTGGACTTGGATCATTTAGACAAGAAAATACAGCTTGGTATCTCCATGACACGGCAGACAGCTTTACATACCATCAACAGTTGGTAACACAGAGTCATCCTCAGCTTTTTCTCCTTCCTCTTCAACCTGCACCCCTTCCAAGGCATTTCCCAATACACCATTCTCCATTCTAAAGGGAACAGAAATTTGTTATCCCTTGGCTCTTATATCGATACCGTTCTAACTGTAGAAACGTGCAACTCATTGGCCCATCCAACCCATCGTTCTAGTATAACCCTTCCAGTACCAGCACAAAATCCTATTACCCCAGCCAGACTCTTCATCTCAAAGCATGACAATTACACTTTACCTGACAGTGCTCAGATGCCAGGATGGCTGTGCTCTGAAAATATTTGGGTATTCGTTAACCTTGTAGATATACTTCCCTCCAAAGAGGCATGCATATTCGCCATATGATCCCTTAAAAAGAGTACTTCTGCTACAAAGCTTGTGTTTAAATAACATCAAACAAGCCATTGTAGATTGCTCCTACTTTTGAGTTCTGGTTTTCTGCCAGAAACCATTCTATTGTTTCCAATATCACTTCTCACTCTCAGTAATTAATCTCAATCGCCTCTCAAACTAGCCATTCCTTTTCCCCCCCAGAAAGCAGGTACGCCAGTCACTTTCAGCTATAAGTTACCCAAAGGAAGCATGTGACACATCCATGGATGGACACTATAAATGAGAAACTGTTAGCATACCTGGCCAACTCCAGAAGAGATTTTCCATAGTAAAAAAAAGCTTCTGCACACTCGTCCGCTGTCTCACCATATTTTTTACCCCTACAAAGGCAATGAAGCATTATTCTGGGTCTGTGTCTTTCTTAGATTTTGATGTTGAACTTGAAAGCTATTAAGAACACCTAGACAGGAAGAATCAGTTCCTTAGCCTATCTCCCACTTTCAAGCGAATAGTGAATGTCCTTCTCACTAATCTAGAACTGGTTCTCAAACATCCAACAAAATAAATTAATCTAGAAGCCTCAAAAAGCATTACCCTCAGAGACTGACCAATACTAGCAAAGAATGGGCTAGTAACATGACCCCATTATTTTCAGATTAACGGACTACATCAGAACCATACACTGCAAAATAAAATACCAAATTCCTTTTTCTCCCAAGAACACTGACAATTATTACTAAGCTGCCTAAACTGCACACTAACTACGGTATTTTCAGATATCCGAGTTTCTTTATCCTACTTTTAAGTAGCTTGTACCGTCCTCAGATGTACTATAAAAGCAGCAGCCTATCCAAGGTTTAAAAAACAAAAAACCCTACATCTTCCTTGTTTAACTGTATCGGTCAAGCTGAAATCCAAGTCCTATTAAGGCACACAAAGCATTTTATTACTTACAATAAACTAGCAGCTTCCTGGAATGCATTGACAGCAGCTGGAATATTTCCCATTACCAAGTGTTTCTGTCCTAAACCCAATAGTTTCTTGGATTCTCCATCCACATCCATACTGAAAAAACAGAATACAAGATTCCATTAGTTTCCACATAATCAGAAAATGAAATATCAGGGGAAGGAAAAAAAAAAAAATTGTACCCAGCCTCCAAAACCTAGTCAGCTTTACGTATGACAGCGAGTTGCGTGCATCCCGCTCACTGGCACTACCAGTAGTTTCACCAGGACCAACTTTCAGCTGTGATGTCCAAGCACAGGCAGGTTAACGCTAACCAACTGCTGCAAGAAGCAGATCACAGAACCAGGCACGACAAAGAACGCTTCCTGGGACGTGCTTCAGGAGCCGCGCACCACTACAGCGCCCAGCACCGGCCAGCGCTTCTTCCCGTTCTGATACTCGCTAAACAAAGGGGAGCGACGCCAAGTTATGACTTCTCATAGCACAGCACGATACATCTGAGAAGAACAACAGGCTTAGTTAAGCCCTGGATGCAGTTCAGCGCATCTCGTGCGGCTCCTGGAGGGTCCGTCCCAGTCCTGTGTCCTGCCCGACACCGGACAGCCCCAGCCGCCCACGGAAGAGCATCCCTACGGGCTAGCCGCAGCATTCACTAACTCGTCTGTTCTACTCGTGCCTTCAATAACCCTTGAAAGGGTTCTGTCACCCGACGTTTGCAAGAGGCTACGGGAGAAGCCGGGTCCCCAGCGCCCGGAGGAGCCGGCGGCGAGGGCCCCGGCCC